GTACTCCATCTTTGAAAGAGTATGATAGTATTAGAAATGATGAAGGTTGAAAGCAGACATGGAGAGCCATGTTTCGGAAAACAACTAAGTCATCTCACTACAGTTTATTGACTACAAAACCCAATTATAATGATTATAATAATATATAAAAGGAACATGAAACAACTTTATAAAACTGCTAGAAAGCATGTTAGTTCGAGTAACTATTTGTAATCAACTCAGTTACGTGAGAAACGAAGAAGGATAATATATGAAACGCATCTAAGAGTATTTCAAACAACAACAAATTGAATAGAAATTAAGCGTTTCAACTGAAACTTTGTCTAGAAACTATATAATATGGCTAATATTAAACTTTGAATATAAAAAAAACTTTGAAAGAAATAAGTGGATGAGAGGAAAAGCTCTCTGAAGGCCTTTACAACTAAACTTAACAAGAGAGCCAAACTTTCGATGAAATGTGTTGCGAAAACTAAACAAAAAAAACATTCGCAACTTCCTAGTATGGATGGCTAAAAGGCCATCCATATATATTTATATATATGATCTCTGGGACACTATGTAACTTCGGCAACAAGAGGGAGGAGGGGTAGAGCAAGAATAAAAACTCAAGCTCTTCCACGCTCACCGGTTCGGACTAAAACATGGGCAACAAAATATGGACAAGAGTCTAATAAAACATAAATGGACAACAAAAGCTAGATTCTCATCCCGCGCAAAATCAAAAAAGTAGTGCGGATCTTGATAACGCCCAAAAGGACAAAAAGTAAAAAAGATAACAATGAAAGAAACGAAACCAGTTTAAATGAGGGTAATGAAATATGAAACACGATAAGTGAATAAGTGAAGAGACAACTCGACACCACTTTCCGTGGAAATGAGCAACCAGTATCACGATTTGATAACTAAAAATGAAATTGTCTAAGAAGATTGCAAAATGCATGTCATGAAATCTCTAACATAATTTTTTTTCAGAACCGGCAAAATTGTTTGAAAACAGTTCTCAAATTAGCCCACCTAATATACATTGCTAAAAATGGATCAGGTTAAACTTGCATATAACATTTTGAAAAAAATGAAAAATAAAAACACACATAATAAAGCTATAGAGCATGGTTTGTCAGGAAGTTTTGGAC